CCTCTGGAATAGCAAAGTGAGTTTCAAACATTCCAGGCAGAGCTGGATCCCAATGTCATTTAAAGGTTGGCACCTGAGCTTTCCAGGATTTCTGGATCCCTGTTTTTATTTACTGCCTGCGGGGGAAATGAAGGAAAAGAAAGGGAGGGAAAAAGGGGGGGGAAAAAATAGGATTTTGTAGGATTTTGGGGTGTTTTGGTGGGGAGTGAGCTGCAACAAAGCCCAAAAATCCCGGCTGGGTTTGGCTGGAGCACCCAGACACCCACAACATTCCCACTGATTCGGGAATAAAGGAGATAATTCCCAAATCCAGATTTGGGAATCATCTTTCCTTCACCTATAAAACTCCTCAGCAGCTTATCAGACCTGAGCCAACCCAAGCTGGATTTTATTTCTTCTTCTTTTTTTTTTTTTAGAGCTGCTGCTTATTTAAAAAAAAAGAAATTCTTTAAATCCCTGTGATATTAGGGGAAAAATCCTATTTATTTCCCGGGAAGCAGCACTCCGTGCCTGGAAGTGCCCCTGTTGCATCTCCAAATCTAAATTGTGGTGGCAAAAAAAATTCAATTATTGTCCCCTCGCCAAAATTTGGGTTTTCAGGGGGTGTTTAGGGGGGCAGCAGCTCCGATGCCGGCAGTTTTCCTGGAAAAGCTGGATTTCCTTCCACCACGCCACTTGTGGGGATTGTCACCTTTGTCCCCTGGGGATTTTTGGGGATTGATCTGAGGTTTCCTGAATGCTCCAGGTTCCCCTGGCCAGGGGGAGCTGGGGATTTGGGCACCCCGAAATAGGGGTGGGAACCCCCTTCTGGAACATTCCATCCCCGGGGCTCTGCAGGTGTCACCAGGTGTCACCAAAGGTGTCACCAGAGAGGTCACCAGAGGTGTCACCTGCCCCTTGGACAGTGGACACACGATTGAAGGACATCGTGGTGGACACAACACAGACCTCAAGGGGATTTGGGGTCCTCAGAACACCCCAAAACAAGGGTGGGAACCCCCTTCTGGAACATTCCATCCCCGGGGCTCTGCAAAGGCCACCAGAGGTGTCACCAGGTGTCACCAGGTGTGTCACCAGAGGTGTCACCAGAGGTGTCACCTGCCCTGAGGACCCGCAGGTCCTTGGGGACACAGCCAAAGGACCGACCCCCCTGGCTGGGGGGACCCACCCCAAACCTGCCAGGACCTGGATTTGGGGTCACCCCCGGGCTGGGGTCACCCCTCTGTGAGGGCTGTCACACCCCCCACCTCTGCAGGGACAAACATCCCGCTCCTGTCCCATCCATGGGGCAGGGGGAATCCACCTGGGAGACCCCCCAGTCCTGGGCAGGGGTGGGGGGCTCCCCTGTGGGGGCTCCTCCCACACCTGGAAGGTTTTCCTTGTCACACCTGGGGCGTTCTGTTCCTCACACCTGGAGGATGCTCTTCCCCACACCCAGGGCTCTCTGCCACACCTGGAGGGTTTTCTTCCTCACACCTGGATCATTCCCTTCCTCACACCTGGAATATTCCCTTCCTCACATCTGGAATATTCCCTTCCTCACCTCTGGAATATTCCATTCCTCACCCCCGGAATATTCCATTCCTCACCTCTGGAACATTCCCTTCCTCACATCTGGAACATTCCATTCCTCACATCTGGAACATTCCCTTCCTCACCTCTGGAATATTCCATCCCTCACCCCCGGAGGACGCTTCCCCGGCACTTAGCGCCCATCCACCACCCCCCTCCCTCCTCTCCACCTCCATCCAGATCATCCTCCATCCATCCTCACCCTCCGCGCATCCAGAACCTCTCCGTATCCCCCCGCAATCCCGGGAATTCGCTCCCTACCTGGTCCCGCAGGCGCTCCTGCTGCCCGCGCAGCGCCAGGGCGTGCTGCGGGTATTTGCTCTTCAGGTGGTCCATGAAGGCGTCCCTCTTGCGCTCCATCTCGCTCTTCTGGAGGCCGGTGAGCGCCTCCAGGCTCTGCGCGGCGATCACGGTGTGCCGGCGCTCCGAGGTGTGCACCAGCCCCACGTTGGAGAAGCGGCGGGTGCCGTTGCCCAGGGTGCGGTACTCCCGCGGGTACTCGGCATCGTCGGCGGAGATCATGTGCGAGCTCGTCCTGTCGGGATCTGCGCGGGCAGCGGGAGAGCACAGCGGGGTCACGGGAGGGTCCCCCGGCCGTGGGGCAGAGCGGGGACGGGCGCCAGGCATGGGGCAGAGCCGGGGGATGGTCCCCAGCTATGGGGCAGGGAGACGGAGGGTGGCCCCCAGCCATAGGGCAGAGGAGGGGGATGGTCCCCAGTTATGGGGCAGGGACGGGTGACTCGTCCCGTCGGGATCTCCCCGGGCACCAGGAGAGCACAGCGGGGTCGAGGGAGGGTCCCCCAGCCGTGGGGCAGAGGGGGGGACGGGCCCCAGGTATGGGGCAGAGCCAGGGATGGTCCCCAGCCGTGGGGCAGAGGTGGGGGGACGCGGGTGCCCGCAGTGGGATCACCCCTCAGAGGGATTCCCGCAGTGGGATCACCCCTCAGAGGGATTCCCGCAGTGGGATCACCCCTCAGTGGGGTGCCCGGGGCAGGGGGTCGGTGCTGGGTTCGTCCCCCCGTGGTGGCAGCGCTGTCGCCGCTCCCGGACACGCGGCAGGAGAGGAGGGGACAGCGGAGCCACGAGGGGAGGGGGCGCAGGGGCTGTGACCCCACCAAACCCCGCCATGATCGGAACGAAACGGGAACAAAACAGCGCTGGGTGACTGAAAACAGCACAGACACGGGGCAGGGACACGGCTCCGGACACACCGGGGACACGGGGGGACACGGGGGGGACACGGGGGGACACGGGGGGACACGGGAGTGACACGGACACAGGACAGAGCGAAAAGAAAATGAAATCAGGCAGGGTGGGGAAGGGTCGTGTGTGCGGGCAATGTGCTGGGGGAGGGGGGAGAGGGTCAGACCCCAAATGTCCTGTCAGAGACCCCAGCGAGGGGCTCAGCACCCCCAGAGACCCCAGCGAGGGGCTCAGCACCCCCAGAGACCCCAGCGAGGGGCTCAGCACCCCCAGAGACCCCAGCGAGGGGTTCAGCACCCCCAGAGACCCCAGCGAGGGGCTCAGCACCCCCAGAGACCCCAGCGAGGGGCTCAGCACCCATCCTGCAGCCTCTGCTCCCAGGGGCCAGCCCGGCCCGCGGGCACCAAACCCGGGATCTCTGGGATGTTCTGCCCCATTCCAGCCCTGGGAGCACCAAACTCGGGATCTCTGGGATGCTCTGCCCCATCCCAGCCCTTCCCGGAGCTCAGCCGAGCCCCGGGAGCACCAAACTCGGTATTTCCGGGATGCTCTGCCCCATCCCAGCCCTTCCCGGGGCTCAGCCCAGGCCGGGCAGGCAGGGGAGGGGGCAGGGGGACAGACAGAGGGTCCCAGGGGACAGACCGAGGGTCCCAGGGGACAGACCGAGGGTCCCAGGGGACAGACCGAGGGTCCCAGGCTCAGAGAGGCGGCAGGGACACTCGTCCTTTGGCTCATAATTCATTCGGCGCACGCCGGGATTTGACTTCCAGGGAAGCCGCGAGCGGCGATGGATGCCTGGAAGTCCCCGCACGCTGCCAGCGCCTGGCACCGCCTCGCTGCCCGCACCACGAGCCCACCCCGCAGCGGGGCAGCTCCAGAACCCCAAAAAGCGTGAATGTCCCCCAAAAAAGCCGCTTTGGGGGGTCCCCCGGGCGCTGGGCTGGTGCCAGCCTGGCGTTGCCACTACCAGGGATGAATTTCGCAGCTCGTTCCGCGGGGCTTCACCACCTCCCCCTCCTGCTCCCCTTTTAACCTTGATCCATAATTCATCTCCTGCTTTTCCCCTCTCCCCGTTAAACAAATCACGAGGTTTTTGTGGGTTTTTTTCCCCTTTATCCCTCAGTTATTTATCAGCCCAGCAGGTCAGTTTGATATCAAACCGATATAAAGCGCTATCAGCCGGGGCCACGGACTCGATTCCTCCTCTCAAGGTCGCACAGGCGGCTCTCCCACGAGCCCAGCGGGGACATCACGCGCTCCATGAATGCCACGGGGACATCCCAAAGCCTTCCCTCCTCCAAAAAGCCACCGGTGCAGCTCCCGTCCCCCACAGCTCCGGCACCGAATGTGACCTTGGCCGGGTTGTCACCCGCTTTTTCCCAGAATACGGAGGTGGGATGTGGGAAGTGCTGAGGATCCCATCCCTGCCTCACTCTGTTGGGTCCCAGAGAGGTCATGGTGGCACTGGGGAGGTCATGGTGGCACCAGAGAGGTCACGGTGGCACTGGGGAGGTCACGGTGGCACTGAGATCATGGTGGCACCAGGGAGCTCATGGTGGCACCAGGGATCTCATGGTGGCACCGGGGAGGTCACGGTGGCACCAAGGAGATCACAGTGGCACCGAGGAGCTCATGGTGGCACCGGAGAGGTCACACTGGCACCAGGGAAGTCACGGTGGCACTGAGATCATGGTGGCACTGGGGAGCTCATGGTGGCACCGAGGAGCTCATGGTGGCACCGGGGAGGTCACGGTGGCA